GGAGCAGGGCAGAGGTCAGCTGAGGGAACACTGCTGACAGGTCAAGGAAGACAAGATCTGAGAATTGACCCTTGCTTTGGCAACTAGCAGTCACTTAAAAAATTTGAGTTCAGAGAAACATGTTAAGTGATACAAAACTTCTCTATGATTACTATACTTCTTCACAACATTTATCACAACTACAAGTAATTATCTGTAGAGTTATTTGTTTAAATCTCTCTTTCCTTGATCCATGGTAAAGTCTAACAAGGCAAGGACCAAATAAGTCTTGTCCTTCATTGTAATACTCAGTGGCTTAAATTTGTAGAGCAAATGAAAGGACTATGGAATCCAAGAAAGAAGGTTCCCCTTTATTCACAAGGCAAAGGCCTGCACTTCTGAGCTGGCATCACTACCCATGCCGGCCCAGCCAGAGCAGTCCACGCAGATCCAGCCACAGGAGGCGAGGCAGTGCTCTTCGGGTGAATTCTCCCTGTCTCTAGTCTCAAGACTTCCTCAGGCCGGGCACAGTAGCTCATGCCTATAATCCTAGCACTCTGGGAGACTGAGGCGGGAGGATCGTTTGAGCTTAGGGGTTTGAGAAGAGCCTGAGCAAGAGCAAGACCCTGTCTCTACTAAAAATAGAAAGAAATTAGCTGGACAACTAAAAATATAAAGAAAAAATTACCTGGGCATGGTCACAAAAGCCTGTAGTCCCAGCTACTTGGGAGGCTGAGGCAGAAGGATCACTTGAGCCCAGAAGTTTGAGGTTGCTGTGAGCTAGGCTGACGCCACAGCACCCTAGCCCAGACAACAGATTAAGACTCTGTCTCAAAAAAAAAAAGACTTCTTCAGTTCAATAGCAGTTACTGGAATTTGTATTGCGGTATGGTTTGGGCCCTTTATTTAATCTACTGTGGCCAAAAAATGGCTGTTTTCCTCCCAATATCCAACATTCCCTTCTTGCATAGCAATGGTTCTTAAATTCTAGCATACATTAGAATTACCTATAGCATTTGTTGGGCCCCACCCCCAAGAATTTGTTTCAGTGTATCTGGGATGAGGCCTGAGAACTAGTATTTCTAACAAATGCCCAGTAATGACAATTGTGACTAGTCTGGGGACCACACTTTGGGAGCTACTGCTTTAGTGTTATAATCCTAACCTTGGTCATCTTTGTTTCTCCTATTAAGAAAATCTCTTTCAGATAATAATTTAAGTTGATAGAAAATATAACAACTTTCAAAATGTTTATGAAATTTGAAAAGATAACTGAAAGTAACAATTCAATATTTAAAAAAAAAAAAATAGTAGTATATAAAGCCCAAGCCAAGAGAATGTGGCCTATTAAAATAAAGTCAGATGTGCCGTAGATGCCCTGGGCAAACCACCTATAGAACCTATGCTGCAAATTGGGCCTATTAATTAACTACAAGTCATGACAGCCACTCTTTGAGCACTGACTCTGGTCCACCTGCTGTGCTAGACCCTGGGCAAAAAACATGTCACATATGTTATCTGTCAATTTATAACAATCCAGTGAGTAGATACCATAATGCCCATTTAGCAGAGGAAGAAACTAAGTAGTAGTAGTTGGCCCAAGTTCATATAGGTAAGAAGAAGTGAAGCTAGAAACCAAATTGAAACCTTCAAGACCAAAGCTGGTGGCCAGTGTACACGCCTGTCCCCCCAACACTGAGGCAGGTCAACCCAACTGCTCTTATGCTCCTGGGGCACAGCACAAGACCTGGCCTCAACACGGCACAGCGTTTACTAAAGAAGCAAAAGAAAGTATCTACTGAAGAGCTCAGGTCATTCTTTCATACTATGCTCCATTTCCTGTTGTTCAAGGGCGGCGTGTGATAGGAAAGAAATGATGACAACAGCAAACACTTTTATGGCACTCACTATGTGCACTATTAGTCTGAGCACATGATACATGTTCACTCGTTTAATACTCACCTCCTTGCAAGTAGGTATTACTGTTCTCCAAATTCTAGAGATGAGGAAAATGAGGCTCAGAAAGGTTAAATAACTTGCACAAAGTCACACAGCCAAATTGTGGCAGAGCTGAATACAAACCCAGGTAGCCTAACTCCAAATTCCATGTTCTTTTTTTTTTTTTTTTTTTTGAGACAGAGTCTCACTTTGTTGTCCAGGCTAGAGTGAGTGCCGTGGCGTCAGCCTAGCTCACAGCAACCTCAAACTCCTGGGCTCGAGTGATCCTTCTGCCTCAGCCTCCCGAGTAGCTGGGACTACAGGCATGCGCCACCATGCCCGGCTAATTTTTTATATATATATATCAGCAGGCCAATTAATTTCTTTCTGTTTATAGTAGAGACGGTTTTGAACTCCTGACCTTGAGCAATCCGCCCGCCTCGGCCTCCCAAGAGCTAGGATTACAGGCGTGAGCCACAGCGCCCGGCCAAATTCCATGTTCTTAAATCATCATATGAAGCTGTCCTCTCAATTAAAAAAAAAAAAAAAAAGTTCCAGAGAGAGAAGGAAAAGGAATTAGAATTTCCTAAATGCCTTTTCTATCCTTTAGCTCTAACTCGAGTTAATGTCACCATCTTGGACCACAAGCCTAACTTCACCCACCCTGTAAAGTGGGGGGCTGTGTTAGCTGACACCTATGACAGCAGCCACCTCAAGCCTGCTGCCCAGAGGCCTCCTGACAGTAGCAGGTCCCTGACCCTGAGTCCCTCCCAGACTATGCCTCCTTGGGGGGTGAGGTGGGAGAAATGAGAGATGAGAGGGCCAGAGACACAAAGCAGAAGCAAACAGGTCACAGGCAGGATTGTATAACTCATGCAGGTACAATTACATTCTTTATTATTGATGATTGAAGTCAGATGGTCCTCCTGTTCGAAGTATTGTGTTACCATATAATTAGCGGGCCTAGTCATTTCAGTTCACAGGAAAAAAAAAAAAAACCTTTTAAGGTCAAGAACATAATATCCATGTTCACCTTAAAAAGAAAAACAAAGGGTACTAAAAAGATAAATAAATTCAAACATGATGCAAGTGATATGAAGTGCCACGGGAAAATCTGTTTAGCACAAATGATACTTTTTTAAAGTATAGATTTATTTAAAAATTTTATAATAGCTTGGCTACTTAGTTTCCTAAGAAATTTATAGCTGAGCTTTGCATACAGATTCATATTTTAATTGTATGCTATTTTAGTAAGCCTACACAATAAGTGACTCAAATTCAAAATGTAAGGATCTATAAAAATGAATTCCAACACTGATATACTTAGTGAGTTCCCTGGGTCCAGACAATTACCACAGAGAATGGTAGACAACATTCAAAACAAATTTAATTTACTGAGGCATGAAAAATGTAGTATGTGGAAACCCACCTTGTTGCCTAGGCCAGGAGCCCCAACACTGTGCCTTGCCTCACCACCGCACACAGCACCCCACATCTAACAGGTCATCAGCAAGTCTGTTTAGTACTCAGAGGGGCATCCTCTGCAACCCCACAATGACTACAGCAGCAATGGGCCAGACCCCATTTTCTCTTGCCTGGACTAGTCCAAGAGCCACACTCTTGCCAAGTGTATCTCATCACTCCTTACCTAAGTAAAACACTCAGGGGCTCTGCAAAGACTTCAGGGAGAGGCTCCCTGGGAAGACTCCAGGGAAGCACAGCACATAGGCCCTTGGGCTCAACCTCCTGGGCTCACACTGCACCCTGTCCTGCCAGCAGAAAGTGCCCTGGCACCCAACTGCCTGGGGCTGCATCCCAGCTCTGCCACTTACTAGCTGTGTGACCCTGCACAAGTCACTCAGCCTTTGTGTCTCAGTGCTTTGGTAAAGTGAGGATAATAGTATCTTCCTCAAAAGGTTGTTGTGAGTTTTAAATGAACTAGAAACACAAGTGCTGAATCATTTAAAACTAGCACACAGTAATCACTCAGTACATGATCCCCATAACAATCAATTCTCTGTTATACCTTTAAACTCAATTGTCTGTGCTGCCTTGCCAAGAAGGTCCAACCTACCTACTCATGCTCCTGTGGTGCTCCTTACAATACCTGCACTGGAATCATTTCCAGAAGGGTGCTCTTGGGCAGTGGTCCCCAACATTTTGGCACCAGGGACCAGTTTCATGGAAGACAATTTTTCCATGGACCAGGAATAGGGGAGTGGGGTGTCATTGGGAGGTGGTAAGGAGCTCAGGACTGGTACCAGGTCGTGGCCCAGGGGTTGGACACTGCAGCTCTTGGACATAGATGCTGTGTCCCTTCTCCAAAGCCAGGGCCAAACATGAGGCCTACCACTTAGCAGGTCCTCAAAAGTGTTTACTGAACAACTTTCAAAGAATATAAAATTGAGGTTGGAGGGGTAAGGCTGCTGGGGGATTATGTCACAGCACTGGGCAAACAGGAGACTGTCAGAATGCTGGGACTAGGAGGCGGTAACAGTCAGGGCTCCTAAGGCCACAGACTTGCTGCATCTGTGTAGGAGCCCCCACCTTACAAAGATAACACGTGCCTTCCATGGTTGGCATTGCTCCCACTGACAGGAACAAGGCAGCCCAGTGTGATGATATCATAGGCATAGCCTCACCCTCAACCCCATTCCACTCCCGCACCCCAAAAAGTAGGCAACTTCAGAGTAAGGGGGACGTATCTTAGCAGAGCCTGGGTGAATGGTGACCCTAGCCTTCCTGCTCAAAAGAAACATAGGAGAAAGCTTTAATATCAAACACAATTAATAAAAATTTGACAATAAACACATTTGCAACTACTGTTGAAAAAACTGATTAAATTTAATCAAGCTATAAATATCTAAAGCCTATCCTATGTGCATGTTACAAGCTGTAAGAAACGAAAAAGGTTAAATTCATCCACATTCTGAATACAGATTTAAATTTTAGGAAGTTGGCATGCAAATAATACAGAGTGTTTTCTGATTTCAAAGCCTCAATAATGGTCACTTTTGCAAGGTTCAGAAATATATGCTGTATACATATAACAGCACATTTCTGTGTTTTCATATCTTGTATACCTTTTGTATTTTCTTTGAATCTTTCTGAGCATTCTCTCGGAGTGGTACTTTTCCAAATAACTTCCATCCCAAGTCATTTTGTTTGTCAAGTCTTGCATTTTGTTTTCTAGCAAGCAAATTCCTACAGGAAGAAAATAAAAGGGTTAAGGAACTTCTGGGTATTTGAAGAAACACTAGGACAGCCGAATCACTCTAATAAAAACAAGTAAACTTTCTATAGAGAGGGACAATGTGATGAACCACATACTTTAATTCTTCAGACTTGATTTTCATATAGACACATAATTATGCAGCAGGAGAAATAAGCCAGAAATAAATGTTTTGTTATTCAACTGTTACATGTACAAATTCTACAACTGAGTATGGAAAAATATTATATCATAAAGCATATCAGAAAAAGTGAGCTTTGAAGTCAGACTAAATTGAAATGAAACCCTGGCTCAACCATTCACTAGCTGTGTGACTCTGAATCAGTATATTAACCACTCTAAGCCTTAGTTTCCTATGTTCCACAAGGTTGTTATACAAATTAAAATTTCAGGCACACAATCGGTATTTAAGAATAACAGCTGGCCAGGCGCGGTGGCTCACGCCTGTAATCCTAGCACTCTGGGAGGCCAAGGCGGGCGGATTGCTCGAGGTCAGGAGTTCGAAACCATCCTGAGCAAGAGTGAGACCCCATCTCTACTATAAATAGAAAGAAATTAATTGGCCAACTAATATATACACATAGAAAAAATTAGCTGGGCATGGTGGCACATGCCTGTAGTCCCAGCTGCTCGGGAGGCTGAAGTAGGAGGACTGCTTGAGCCCAGGAGTTTGGGGTTGCTGTGAGCAAGGCTGACGCCATGGCACTCACTCTAGCCTGGGCAACAACATGAGACTCTGTCTCAAAAAAAAAAAAAAAAAAAAAATAACAGCTGTAGGCCGGCCATGGTGGCGCACGCCTGTAATCCTAGCACTCTGAGAGGCCGAGGCAGGAGGATCGCTCAAGGTCAGGAGTTCAAAACCAGCCTGAGTGAGACCTCCCATCTCTACCAAAACTAGAAAGAAATTAACTAATCAACTAAAAATATATAAAAAAAATTAGCCGGGCATGGTGGCACATGCTTGTAGTCTCAGCTACTCGGGAGGCTGAGGCAGTAGGATGGCTTGAGCCCAGGACATTGAGGTTGCTGTGAGCTAGGCTGACACCACGGCACTCACTCTAGCCTGGGCAACAAAGTAAGACTCTGTCTCAAAAAAAAAGAAAAAAAAAAAAACCCAGCTGCTTTATTATTTAACTGCTAGTTTAAATTATCTACAAGGTAAATCTGTGTTATCTATTTAGACAGAGTATTCATATATTATACAAAGAAAGTCACTCATGAGATGGTCACAAGGTCTTCCCTCCCAAGAACATGTAAACAAAAGTTCCAAATAACACAAATAAATCCCAACTGGTAGTACAAAATAAACTCTGTTTTGGAATGCACTGCACTGATGCATTTATTAAAAACAAATGCTTTCCAGGGCTTACTAGAATACTATAAGATGAGCCTGCAGCATTCTGGTGTGCTAAAAAGTGCTCAAAGAAATATGAAGACATGTCAAATGGAAACAGTAGCCAGCCTGAAAGACTTGTACTGGCTATGTCTGGAACACTTTAATCATCAGAATAAATAATAAGAACTATGGATTATAACCCACTGAATAAAACAGAAATCCATGAGCCCATATAGATAAAAATAATTAAATATATAAATAAACGGCCAGGCGTGGTGGCTCACGCCTGTAATCCTAGCACTTTGGGAGGCCGAGGCGGGCGGATTGCTCAAGGTCAGGAGTTCGAAACCAGCCTGAGCAAGAGCAAGACCCCGTCTCTACCAAAAATAGAAATAAATTAATTGACCAACTGAAAATATATATACAAAAAATTAGCCGGGCATGGTGGCGCATGCCTGTAGTCCCAGCTACTCGGGAGGCTGAGGCAGTAGGATCGCTGAGCCCCGGAGATTGAGGTTGCCGTGAGCTAGGCTGACACCACGGCACTCACTCTAGCCTGGGCAACAAAGTGAGACTCTGCCTCAAAAAAAAAAAAAAAAAAAAATATATATATATATATATATATAAATAAACGGACGAGGCTCTTAGAATGCTATCTAGTAAGTATGGAAGGACTAATAGAGTTAGCAAATGATCAAGTGGTAAAAGTTGGATGAACAATTGGATTTTTACATAGTTTAAAAGTATCTCTTACAAATTACTTATTAATTACAAAAGCAAAAATAGTTAATTTTGACTAGAGAAACCTGAGACATCACCTTAGCCAAGTGATCAAAGCTAACATCACCAATGTCAGGACAGACAGCACAGGACACCTGATATGACATTCAGAGAATAATACACCAGGTCAATGGCATTGGTTCCTCAAGAATATATCACCTGAATCTAATCATGAAGAAAAGCAGACACCCACAAACTGAGGGATAATCTATAAAATAATGAATCCTTTTACTCTTTAAAAATGTCAACAGTTTTAAAGACAAAGAAAGGTTGAGGAATTGTTCCTGATAAAGAGAAGACTAAAAAGACCTGACAATTAAATGCAATGCAAGGTCCTGTACCATCATCCTGGACCATGGAGAAATAAAAGGCTATAAAGATTATTGGGAAACTTGACAAAATTTGATTATGCACTGTGGATCTGAAAACAGCATTGGATTAATGTTAAATTTCCTGATTTTGATAACCGTACTGTGGTTATGTAAAAGAATGCCCTTGTTCTTAAAGAAATGCGGTGATAAATTTAGGGGTAAAGAGACATGATATCTCCAACTTACTCTTCTAATGGTTTAGGAAAAAATATGCATATATATTATATATAGAGAGAGATATAAAACAAATGGAGCAAAATGTAAACAGTTGGTAAATCTGGGTAAAGGATATATGGTAGTTCCTTTTTTGGGCAACTATTTAGTAAGTTTGAAATTATATCAAAATAAAGTCACAAAAACTTTCAAAAAAGAAAACAAATGTTTCCTTCCTTGCTTTTCTGTTGAGATTATAATGGAATCATTTCAGAAATGGTTTCATAGCCTAAGGCAATTTTTATTTACAAGAAATGAACTTTTGAGCTGTCTCCAGATCCAACACATTTAACATCTAAGATTTCACCATCAGTGAAGGACTTCTGCAATTAAAAACAGATTAAAACCTCAGGCACCCAGAAGATACCAACAACTTCAGCATCCAGCACTTGTGTTCCCTAACTGTGTACATTTTGCTAAAGAGGAGTTGTTTCTCTCTGGGGAAGGGAATTATCAAGGCACAAACTTAAGAAAACAAAATGCACTCAGGAAGGGGAAGGCCCCAGGATCAAGGGCACACCTCCTTACCCTGGATGGACAGGAGTCCCAGAGGGCTGAAGGAATGGATCTGAGAATTGCATAGAAGCGATGTAGGGGATATGTGAAAAAGAGAAGTCTGCATGACTGGCTCTCAGATTTGTGATTTAGAAAGTTGAGCACAAATACTGGTGCTATTCATCGAGACAAGGCAAGCAGGAGGATGACTAAGAAGAACAGAAACCTCGGTTTTTCTGGCCTCAGCTAATGCAACATAAGTCTGTGCAAAGGTAATGCAGATAAAATTTAATGTATCAAAAATCAAAGTTGCATAAGTATTTTTAAGATAAGAACTTAAGCTCATGTAATAGGTCATGATTTTTGGAAGGTTCATAAAAATCATCTTGGAGATATTATATTTTGTGGATAAGAGGTTGAAGTACGACCCCAAAACAAGTTACTGTAAGTAAAAAGGTGCTGCAGCCTGGGCCTTGGGGTGAAAAGATTGCCTCCTTTCAGGTGGGCCACTCATCAGACACCCAGGAGGCCAAGATGGAGCCTTGTTCACGTCTGCTCATCACATGACCAAACCCCAGGCCAGGTACAATGAGAGGACACAGCCAGGCAGGAATGACCCTGGGCAGCATGGAGCTGGGAGCATCCCTCGGGGACGTCCTTCAGGAACCCACACACAGGTGCCACTCATCCACCCCCCAAGCCCAGCAGTCCCTCAGCTGTCCCTTCATGGGCTATGTGACCTGGTGAGTTGGCATACCCCTTGGCCTTCAGACACTAGGGCATACAGTGGCCACAGTCACATCTCTGACTGACACCAGGAGGCAAAACACTGGGGCTGCTGGACTCAAGCTTCCTCTTTTCATTATTTTAAATCTGCCTGTCCCACCCCAGGTTGAGAAATCCTCGTATTTGCCCTTGGGGCACTCTGAGAAGCCTTCTCTGACCAGATGTGCAGGCCTGGGCTCCCCAGAGTCTGTTTCCAGAGTATTCTCTGGATTTTTATTTTTTTTTTTAAGTCAGAGCCTCACTTTGTTGCCTGGGCTAAAGTGCCGTGGCATCCACCTAGCTCACAGCAACCTCAAACTCCTGGGCTCAAGTGATCTTTCTGCCTCAGCCTCCCAAATAGCTGGAACTACAGGCACGCACCACCATGCCCAGCTAATTTTTTCTATATATTTTTAGTTGGCCAATTAATTTCTTTCTATTTTTAGTAGAGATGGGGTCTCACTCTTGCTCAGGCTGGTTTTGAACTCCTGACCTTGAGCGATTCTCCTGCCTCCCAGAGTGCTAGGATTACAGGCGTGAGCCACCGCACCCAGCCCAGAGTATTCTCTGCTTTCTTTTATACAGCATGCAGTAGGTGCTCTATGTGTGTCTGCAGGGGAAACACGTGCAGGAGACTCTTATCTGTGGCTGCCTTCCACCAACCACCAGGTGTGGTAAAAAAACAAGCAATGCTGTATCCATAGGTTCCCTCCCCTCAATCCACACACAGTCTCAACCAAACTGTCCACATCAGGGTTCCTAAGAGCCACCTGAACTCTAGATCATGAATCCTGCCCTGCCCACTCCCACAATGGCACCCACACTAGCACACCACCTTGCACCTCTTATCCCTCCAGGTCTCTGCACACACGGCCTGGGCACAGGCATATCTTACCTCCTACCTAGCCCCTTCATCCACGATGCACACTCAGATCCCTTCTCCTGCAGTGGGCAGGAGAGGAGAGTGGTAGCAGGGAAGCACCCAAGAACTTTTCCAAAGACAAGATGAGAA